GTGCTTTGTACGATTGTGTCTTACAGGACTGGGACTCACAGACATCTCGGTTTCAAGTGTCTGTAATTCAGCCTAGTGGTTAGGAGCATGAGCTTGGGGTCAGAGAGATCAGGGTCTGAGTCCTGGCTCTGTCACTTTCTAGCTCTGGGAAAGTCACTCTGTCTGAGATTTATTTTTGTCTTATGGAAGGGAGGAGTAACAACAGCTGCCTTGTGGGGCTGAGGATTAGAGGCTATGCATGTGAAAGGCTCAGCACAGGGCCGGATGCATGAGCAATGCTCATCAGTACACCACGGTTATTATTATTATTATACACTGCAGCTATTGTCATTATCTTTATTATTAATAGTAGTAGTAGTAGTAGTAATAGTAATAGTAGCAGTAATGGCATTATTGTACTCTACCGCACTGTAGCCGGAAGATATCCACACTGGTGCTACATTTACATGAATCATGACAATATTGATACATATATATTACATTGATAATAATAATTAACAGTTATTGAATACGTGCTGTTTTCCAGATAACCCTTTAAGTACTTTACATACTTTAGTTAATTTAATTCTCACGAGGATCTGCTGGTAGGTGTTACTAATATGCCCATTTCACAGATGGGGAAAGCCATGTTCAGAAAGGGTCAAGAACCTGCCTGAGGTCTCACAGGGAAGGAGCAATGGTGGGATTTGAACTCAGGCTCCAGATACCATGCTGTTTCCAGATTCATGGCTGAGTTTTGAGCTGTGCTAAAATTATACCTGTATCGAATCCTCCCCGTTCCCTCTCCATCAGCCCCTTTTTTACTCTAGCTGCTGACCTATGCTGAGCTATGGAGAAAAAACCAAAACAAAACCAAAAGACCTTTACCTCCCCGCTGTGGCTGCATAGGATACTGATTGAGCTTCCTAGTAAAAACCCAGACTCCCTGTTGCCTTCAAAAGGTTTGACCACTTGTCTACAAGGTCCATCAGATGGTTTTATAATATATTCCTTTATACAGAGAAGACACTTAGAGCATCTGTACGCCTGAGTGATCAACCCCCTTTACCATGCAGTTTATAATTTATTTTTATCGTGGAAGGCATGTGAGTGGGAGGAAGATGTCCTATTTTGGGGATAAATTGACAATGGCACAGCTGCATCAGCCTGAGGTAAGCCTGAGTCCAGCGAGGTTCCTAAACCCTGAATCCTGTTGGGATCAAAA